TACGCTAAATTACAATTTTTATTCAAGGGAAACGTCCACTTTTGGTCCTTCATGTTTAGGGATATCCAGATTGAGTCCCTACTATTTTTTGGTGCCCAATTTTAGTCCTTAAAACAAAAAATGTAGTCCCTATTATGTTTTGGTGCCCAATTTTAGTCTTTAAAACAAAAAAAATGTACGTGTGATTCTAACAAAATCAGTTGATACGTTGAGTTCTCTCTGATGAGATTTTTTTCTCTCTCTAGAGCTACAGTTCCACTTGTTGGATTCCAGTTAGGGTTTCCTCGATCATCTCTTGCTAGCCTTCAATCCTTTTCTTCCCTTGATTCATCGATCATTCCTAATCTCATTTCCCTTTAGAGATTCCTCTTTCATCTGTTAATTTTAGGGTATCTCAAATCATAGATTCTGTCGTTTCTCAGATTCTCCCCATCTCATTTCCCCTTCATAGAAAGCTGCTAGTCAATCTATTGGTTTAAAGTGCACATAAGGGTCTACTCTTAATTGGGAAAATGGAGCAAGAAATCTCAGACCGACTGCTCAAAATTAAATTATCCGAGAAGGAAGTGGATGGAGTTGAGCTTTCAGATGCAGATATAGCCAAAGGAGTTCAAGAGTGCAAACTGAGTCTCATTGGAAAAAGTTTCGGAGAGAAACGTGTGAACTACAATGGTCTGAAATCGACACTCACTGGCATATGGATTACCAAGAAGCCCTTTTCAATCCGCAACCTTGGAGCTAATAAATTCCAATTTATATTCCAAACAGAAGAAGATAAAGAGAAAATCCTGAGGGGCAAATCGTGGGCTTTTGACGGGCAATACTTAATTCTGAAAAACTGGGACCCGCTGAACTTGGAGTTCTCTGAAGAAGAAGAAAAAATTAAGATTTGGGTGCAATTCCTAAACCTTCCGCTACACTGGATCTCGGCGGAAACGGGTTGGAAAATTGGTAAGAAGATAGGATCGGTTATTAATGTCCTGTTACCAAGCTCAGGAAGCAACCATGGTCAGATCCTCAAAGTTCTGGTGGAGCTGAAGCTATCAGAGCCAATCCTAAGAGGCACCTTCATCAAAGTCGGAGCTGAAAACCACTGGATTGATTTCAGGTACGAGAATATTCAAGATTTTTGCTATTATTGTGGTAAAATCGGTCACTCAGACAAGAACTGCCGCTTAAAACAAGAGGATATGCATAAGAATGTTCTTAACATGGGCCAATTTGGGGATTGGATTAGAGCCACCACTAACTTTACCCCTTATAATCCAAAAAATTCATCTAGTTCTGACTCTGATAGTTTTGGAAATGAGACAGATAAGGGTAAAACTGATAATGTGAGTCATAATAAAAGAGTCATTGGTTATGATAGCTTAACCAATATATCTCAAAGGGATAAAATTGGTTCTGATAACAGGCAGATAGTGATTGTAGAAGGGGAGGGTAGTGGTGTCTTAGGCAATGCTCCAGATCACCAAGTTGCAGAAACATCTGCAGCTGCTCAAGCTATAGAGGATTCTCAAGCTTTGGACTCTAACCTAGTGGAGGTAAATATTCTATCTACCCCCACTGTTACTAAAATTGTACAAAAGAACAGAAAATCTTTGGGCAAGAAACCAATTCTGAGGAAGAGTCTGGAACCAATGGACATGGTTACAGACTCTAAGAACTCTAACCCCCTAAGTTTGGATCCTTATATCTCTCTGAAAAAAAGGAGTGTGGAGTCTTTAGGTGGCTCCTCTCCTTGTGAAATGATCCAGTCTGATAATAAAAAACAGAAAATTTCTAATCATCTCAGTTTAGATCAGGTGGAGGAAACCAGCCTTAAATGGTCCCAACCAGATAAATGAAAATTTTTGTGTGGAATTGTAGAGGTTTGGGAGGACCCTCTACAATTTCCCAATTCAAAGAGGATCTAAGAGCTCACCTCCCAGATTTTGCCTGTCTTCTGGAAACTAAGAAAAAACCAAAATTTGTTTCTACTGTCTGTAAAAAAACTCAAATTTGATAATAGATGGGTTTATATAAACCCCATTAATTCTAGAGGGGGAATTTTGATAACTTGGTCCCCTAGTATTATTATTTTGCAACTCATTAATTTTGATTTTTGTGTTCAAGTCCAATTCTGTCTGCAAGAAGGTGGGGTTAAACATTGGGTGGTTTTTGTTTATGCTAGTTCTAATGCTTCAGATAGAAACCTCCAATGGGAAGTTTTACTGAGGCACAGTCTTACTTGGGGTGATGTTTGGTGTCTGTGTGGTGACTTTAATGATATCCTCTCTAATGAGGAGAAACAAGGGGGGGCTATTAGAGAAGAGAGTAGTTTTGCTAACTTCAGAAATTTTGTGTTTGGTCTAGGAGCTATAGATAGTAACTTTGTGGGGCATCCTTACACTTGGGCCAATAACAGGCAGGGGAAGAACTTTATAGAAGAGAGGCTTGATAGGTTTCTTATCTCCCCTGCATGGCATTTAAAATACCCAAATGGCCTAGTTAAACACATTCATGCATCATCCTCAGACCACAATATGCTAATCTTGAATACTCTTGGTACCTTTGACATCTACCAGAAAAGGTTTACATATGATAGAAGGTGGTCTAATATACCTGGCTTTGCTGAAGTAATAGAAAAAGCTTGGAAAGATTCAGTGACAGGGCAGGATGTATTCAGCCTCAAAGAAAGACTAAAGAATGTCAAGAAAGCACTGATTGGTTGGAAAGCTTCCCAGAAAACCAACTCACTGAAAGAGATAGAAAGATGTAAAGAGAGTCTCAGCCAACTTGCTATGGAAGGAGGAGACAGAGATTGGGCTACTTGGTAGATATTGACCTCAGAACTCAACCAAGCATATAAAAATGAGGAGATATACTGGTCCCAAAAAGCCAGAATCAGCTGGTTGAAAGAAGGAGATAAGAATTCTGCATTCTTTCATGCCTGTGTCCAGAATAGAAGAAAGACCAACTCACTGGACAGCTTACTTAAAGCTGATGGCACTGCATGTGAATCAACACGAAAGACTCTAGAGGAAATAACTGCATACTTTGCCAGTCTCTTCAAGACATCAGCCCCTCAGATGCAACAATGCAGTTTGGAAGGTATTCCAAAATCAATCACAGCAGATATGAATGAATCTCTGACCAAAGAAGTGAGTGAAGAAGAAATCAAAGATGCTCTGATGGCCATGGACCCTAATAGTGCACCAGGACTGGATGGATTTACTGCAGCTTTCTTCCAAACCCATTGGCACATCCTCAAAGTCCAAATCATTCAAGGGGTAAAAAATTTCTTCTCTTCTGGTAGAATGCCAAAAGGATTAAACCACTCTATCATTTCTCTTATCCCTAAAAAACCCAACCCCACTTCTGTTTCAGAATTTAGACCTATTAGTTTATGTAATGTCATTTATAAGCTTATCTCCAAAATTATTGCCAACAGATTAAAATCTGTGTTGCCTGCTTGTATTTCCCCACCTCAATCTGCCTTTGTTCCAGGTAGACAAATTCTTGACAATGTCATAATAGCAAATGAATGCATTCATTACCTTAATTGCAAAAGAAAAGGAAAAGAATGTTTCATGGCCATTAAATTGGACATGGCCAAGGCTTTTGATAGGGTAGAGTGGGATTTTGTAGCTAGAATTTTGCATCATATGGGCTTTTGTAATAAATTCATATCTTGGACTTTAGCTTGTATCTGTTCTTCTGCCTTCTCCTTTAATATTCATGGTAAATGTCTTGGCTATTTACAACCTTCTAGGGGTTTGAGACAGGGAGATCCCCTATCTCCATATCTATTTATCATTGTCTCTGAAGCTTTCTCTAATTTAATCTCTCAAGCCAAAATTCACTCTAATTTTCAAGGCATTAAAATTAGTAGATATGCTCCTTCCATTTCTCATCTTTTCTTTGCCGATGATACCATTTTGTTTTGTACAGCTAATATTCACCATGCTAATCTTATCCTTAAAATCCTTTCTGACTATGGCAATGACTCTGGCCAACAAGTTAACATTGCTAAATCATCTATATTCTTCTCCAAAAATACCTCTGAGGAAACCATGACTGGAATCTGTCAAGTGTTTGCAGGTATCTCTAGGGTTACATCTACCAAATATTTGGGTCTTCCCCTAGGTATTGGTAGAAGGAAAAAAGAAGTGTTTTCTTTTGTGAGTGACAGTGTTAAAAACAGACTGAGCAGTTGGAAAAATAAATACCTAAGTGAGTCAGGAAAAGAAATTCTCATTAAGTCAGTTTTGTCTGCTTTACCCACTTATGTGTTTTCTTGCTTCAGGGTTCCTGTGGGGATTTTGAATATTATAGGTAGGGACATTTCCAATTTTTGGTGGGGTGTGCAAGAGAATAAGGCTAATGGAGTTCACTGGGCCAGGTGGGAAAAATTAGTGCAGAACAAAAACAGGGGAGGGATGGGATTTAAGGATCTCCAGGCATTTAATGAAGCCCTCCTAGTTAAACAACTCTGGAGACTTATCACCAAACCCAATCTCTTAATGAGCAAATTGATGAAGGGTAGATACTTTAGGAATCAAAAGCTGAGTGAGGTCAAGGTTAAGGGGAGTGATTCATGGCTCTGGAGGAGCTGGTTGGGGGCCAGAAAATATTTAGAACTAGGGGCTAGGTATAGAATAGGTAATGGTCATGATGTCTCAATTTGGAATTCCCCCTGGATTCCCAACAATTCAACCTTTAAACCTAGTGTCCCTTTAGCTGCTGATAGAGAGAGGGTGGGTAAAGTCAAGGACCTAATCTGTCATAGCACTATGTCCTGGGATAGGGACCTTATTCTCAAAACATTCAGTCCTATGGGTGCAGAGCTAATTTTAAATATTCCCTTGCCCCCTCAAGGAGGCAGGGATCATTTAATTTGGCATTGGAGCAAGAATGGGAATTTTTCTGTCAAAGAAGTGTATCAAGTAGTGCTCAATTGTTTAAAATCTAAACAATCAGAGGCTACAACCAGTGGCTACCCAAAGGCATTAAAAAGCATGTGGAAAATCTCCTGGCATCTTCCTCTTAAAGGCAGAGTCAAAAATTTTATATGGAGATGCTGGAACAACTACCTTGGCTCAAAAGATAATCTGGCTCGAAGAAGAATTTTATCTGACACAACATGTGAAGTATGCGGGGAAGCTACAGAAATTGTTGCTCATATTTTGTTTCATTGCCCCAGAGCTGTTATTTGCTGGAAGCTTTCAGGATTACTCTGGGACTCCCTACAGCAAGAGGATGTTACATTTCAAAGTTGGTGGATGGAACTCTGCAAAATCAAGGAAGACCACTTCAGAACGGAAAGAATGAGCATCTCTGCTCTTTTAATATGGAACATCTGGAAAAGCATAAATGAATGGATTTGGAACAGAACACATAGGGAGGCAAAAGAAATTGTGGAGAAGACTTTGTCTGATTGGCTCGAAATAGTTAACATCAAGGAAGGCAAAGCTCAAACGGTGAGGCTCAATCTGTCTGCAAAACATCATTTCAAAGATCAATTTTCCAAGAAGGTAGGGCAGGAGAGTTCAACTGCCAGTGCCTTAGGGTCTTTGGAAGGCTGTCTTGAAGATCAATTCAGGGAGGAAGAAAACTCAGGAACTTTGGCATTTGATCTCGGTTAATTTAGATTTTTAGAGATCAGCTTTTATTTAGTCTAGTTCTGTTTTCTCTTGTTTTGTCATTTGTTGTTCTGTGGCTAGGGTTGTATTTGTATAAATTACTTCCCTCTCGGGCTTTTCCTTTGTTAAGCCCTATTGATCATTTGGTCGAACGGTTGTAAGACTTTGTTTGAGGTTTTAATTAATTCATCTTTTTGAAAAAAAAAAAAAAATGTAGTCCCTATTATGTTTTGGTGCCCAATTTTAGTCCTTAAAACAAAAAATATAGTCCCTATTATGTTTTGGTGTCAAATTTTAGTCCTTAAAACAAAAAATATAGTCTCTTTTATGTTTTGGTGCCCAATTTTAGTCCTAAAATAAAAAAATGTAGTCCCTATTATGTTTTGGTGCACAATTTTAGTCCTTAAAACAAAAAAAAAATGTCAATTAACCTCTCAATTTATGTGAATTGACGGTCCATTTTTGTTAATAACATCAAAGTAGTTGTGTAAAATAATTTAAAACATCGCAAAGAGGTAATCAAATTTCAAAGGAACAAATTATTGACCTGATCATAAAAATCATGATACAGTCATTGCATATTTATTAATTATTAAAGTGTTCTTGAACCCGAGAACAACAAATGTGGTTTGCACAACCACAGCCGAGGCACTGGCCATGGACAAAATTGTCATTTATGCAAACCACCCCTAGTTCCCAAACTGCCGGACGTACGACGACCTAGGAGACTTCGTCAGGGAAACGCACAAGGCACTAGAAGATGAGTCGGACCCACTCACGGACGAGTGGATGGATTGTTGTGTGCAGGGTATGTAATATAAATATATAATTTTATTATTTAATATTTAATAATTAATAATTATGCAATGAATGTATCATGATTTTTATGATCAGGTCAATAATTTGTTCCTTTGAAATTTGATTACATCTTTTCGATGTTTTAAATTATTTTACACAACTACTTTGATGTTATTAACAAAAATGGACCGTTAATTCACAGAAATTGAGGTTAATGGACTACATTTTTTTGTTTTTAGGACTAAAATTGGGTACCAAAACATAATAGGGACTACATTTTTTTATTTTTAGGACTAAAATTGGGCACCCAAACATAAAAGGGACTACATTTTTTGTTGGGGTTTTTTCAATACAAGACCTGAAAGATAGGTAAACTATCAATTCGGGGCCTGAAAGATTTTTTTTCTCAATTCGGGATCTGAATGTTATAAAACTATCAAATTAAGTCCTACAATTAACAAACACTCACAAAACCATTAAATTCAGAGTTAGTTTTAAAACACCAAATATGTTTTTTTTTTTTAATATTATACAAATGTTTACTTATTATTTTATGTGAGTAAACAACAATCTTTTATTTTTCTTCAAATTTGGTGTTTTAAAACTTAAAATTAACTCTCAATGTAATAGTTTTATGAGTGTTTGTTAATTGTAGGACTTAATTTGATAGTTTCATAACATTCAGGTCCCGAATTGAGAAAAAAAATCTTTCAGACCCCAAATTGATAGTTTACCTATCTTTCAAGTCTTGTATTGAAAAAAACTCCTTTTTTGTTTTAAGGACTAAAATTTGACACCAAAACATAATAGGGACTATATTTTTTTGTTTTAAGGACTAAAATTAGGCACCGAAATATAATAGGGACTACATTTTTTGTTTTAAGGACTAAAATTGGGCACCAAAACATAATAGGGACTACATTTTTTTATTTTAAGGACTAAAATTGACCACCAAGAAATAATAGGGACTCAGTCTGGATACCCCTAAACATGAAGGACCAAAAATGGATTTTTCCCTTTTTTTCAATTGGTCCACTGATCAATCTAACCTATAATGTGCTGACGTGACATGGTAAAGTTTAACACCTACTACGTGGCATGTTAAATTGCAACGCACGTTGCAATAATATTTTAATTTTAGTTCTCTAAATTGACTCTTTTTTTTTTAAATTTTGTGGCAATCATATTATAATTTTAATTCTCTAAATTGACCCCTTTTTTAATTTTGGTCCATAAGTGTGCTTCAACTTTAATTTTGTTACATTGAGTTGAGAAATTTAATAATTTGGGTCTACCATCACACTTATTGAAGGCTATGTGGCATAATAGAAACAGTTGAACATGTTCGGTGGCATTGCAATAAGGCTCAAATTGTTTGAAAAATTTCCCCTGTTAGCTGGGAATGTTTTTCTTGGCTTACAACATCCTTTATAGATTGTTGGTGGTCCATGTGTTCCATAAGTTCCAAGGAGATTGATGAAAGCAGAATACAACTTTCGACCTACTTGTTGTGGTGGTTGTAGAAATTTCGCAACGTTTGGGTGTTTCAAGAGCAAAGAACCCCTGAGCTTGACCTTGTCAGACAAGCCATTAGGGAGATGCAAGAGTTTTGTTCTATCTAGTTGGTGCTTGTGGATTTTGGGAGATCATAATCTAGGTCTTTGACAATTTTTTATCCCTTCTCCCGTCTTTGTTCTTTGGTTTGATTAGCATTGGACTTCAATTTTGTGCTGCGTATGCTTGTTTTAGCTTTAGACCTCGCTTGTGAGGTCTCCCAATTTATGCGTTGTCATTGATTCATAGTTTGTATTCGAACTTTATATCTTTGGTATTGTTATGAGCATTCTATCGTTTCGCAAAAAACAAAAAAGAAAAAGCAATTGTGTACTCCACCACCATATTATTTATTTATATAATATTGTAATAATATCATAATAATAATTTTTAATATTATCTTTTATTTTTATTCCGTACAAAAAAATACATACATTATAGATTAATCCATTCTATTATGATGTTTGGAGTTGTCTAAATTTATTAAATTTATTTTGTTTTTCTTCATCAAAATTAAAATTAAATATTTTTTTGTGATATAAGATAATAAAAATACATTATGAAATAGTTTATTATATTAATTTACTGTTATATGTAGTGTAGTATCATAGTTCATATCAAATTTGTTAAACCAACTTGAACCCGCAAATGCCCCAGTGTAGAATATAGATCCCCAATTTCTTTCCCATTTCATTTCTCCTCCTTCTCCTTCGCATATCTCATTCCCCTCACTGATTAGCGCTCCCAACGGCGGTACTTAGCACACCGTCACTCTGACGCCTCCGAGAGCTCGTTGCATGTTTCAGGGCGCGGCTTTGGTTCCTCTTTTGTCTGGTGCTCTGTCGTTGACTGGTGGACGAGGTGGGCTTGTTAGGGTTCTTTGGGCTCGCCGATGTCGCTGTGGTGGTCGACGTCGATTGCCGCTCTGGAAGCGATTGGAGTCGTGTTATTCGTCCTCTCCATTTCTTATTGGTTCGAGTATTCCTTGGGGTTGAATTAGCAGGAGCTCCGACGGGTATAAGTGTCGGCTCCGATCGATCTACGACCGACAGGTTGTGTCAGGAGAAGGGAGCGACGTGGGCCGCCTGGAATTCTTGGGCTCGTGTGATTGGTTAGCCGTAACTTGAAGAATGTTTCCAGATTCGGGCCTTGGGATGAGCCTCTGCCTTCTTGGGTGGTTGTGTTTGGTGTTTGAACATGGGGTTCAGAGTGTGTGGCTGATTGGTGGGGAGGGCCTTATTCTAGTATTGTTAGTTGCTTTTGTGTGTGCTACATGATTTTTATGTATTTCTCTGTGTTTTTTAGTGTTATATTCCTGTTCG